TCCCCCCTTCTATGAGCATTTAATGATAAATTGATTGATTGATAATTTCTTTACCAATTGAAAAAAAAAGAAAAAAAAAAAAAGGGAAAACATTTACAAAAAGCCTTTCTGATAACAAATAATTTTTTTTCTTAAAGCACAATAATCGTATTAAGCTATACCATTAGTAGTAATGGTACCAGTAATAGCAGCAACAACAATAACAATAACAATAACAACAACAACAACAACAACGACAACAATAACAATAACAACAATAGCGGTAGTTTGATTAGAGCGACAATAAGTTGAACAATGGTTATCCTGTTTGAATATTGATGACATAGTTGAGCATATGCTGATCAGAAGAGTGAAACCATGCGACTGGAACCGCTACTTCCACTACCTTTATTGGTCACTCGTAGCAGCTCACCCTAAATATACCAGTTTTGCATATATATCTAAAACCTAGCGGCATTCAAGGAACTACCTACCTATCATCTATCAGCAACGTACGTGTTATCTCTCTCTCTCTCTCTCTCATTTTAATTTTCTCAATTTATTATGAATGTATATTCTTGTATGTGTGTGTATGTGTGTGTATGTTTTATCTGGTTTATCGTTGTTGCTACAGCAACCCAAATATGATTGGTGACGAAAAATTACATGGATATCACAATCTCCGGTTACGTGATCAATTCAATAGCTTTTGCTGTAAATTCATTTATGTCAAAAAAAAAAAAAGATTTCCAAATTTGAAGATATAAATTTATATCATCAAACATTTAAAATTTTTATGCAATCATTTTAAAGAATTATTAATTAATTACTTAATTTAAATTAAACTATGGATAGCATTGCTATTTGATGCTCAAAACTATAGATAAACGTAAATTAGCCATTTAAAGCTCATGAGTAGAGATAAATTTAGCCAACTAAAGCTCAAAATTATAGATAAAGTTAGTTTTAAGCTATCTAAAATTGAACTACTGATAACGGAGCAATTTAAAGTTATACATGATGTTTATTTCTTTTTCAACTTCTTATTTGCTATATTTAATTCGTCTACAATTATTCGTTCAATGAAATCCATTAACAACTGAATTGTAATTTCGATCAATTTAATCGTCAATTGAAAATAATGGAAATTGATCAACAGTAGTTATAGATTAAATTACTATTTTTCAGAATTTAAATTTTCAATTTCAATCACTTTTCCTTTTTCTCTTAATCATTATCATTCATTCTAATCAGAATACTTCTTCCATAGATGTGATATGAAAGCGAATGGTTTGCTTACTATTCTTTTATCAACTGTCATGAGGATAATATACGAACTTTTTTAAAATTTTATCATATCACTTTGTTGTAATGAATACATTTTGTTAATTATGAAAATTTTGATATCATATCAATTTTTTAAAAATTTTTGTCAATAAAATCTATAATTAATGACATTTGCTTGAAATGTTTATTTATTTTTTTTAATAGTTAATCAAAACAAGAACTCTTGCGTGTTTGTTTTATTTTGTCTTTTAAACAAAAGAATTAACACTTATTTACTTGCACTCATTTATACTGCTCTATTCATTTCTATTTTAAATCATCAATTTCTGATTATCATTTTACACGTAATAATCACAATGAAATTTGCATAATTTAATAACGACAGAAAATGTTAGTGTTAGTTTTAATTTTTTCTAACAAAAATTCATTAATCAAAATTTTATTTTTGGTTTTAATTTAACTTTATGCATTTAATAAATAATTGTTACATTGAAATGCAAATTAAAAAAAAAAAGGAAACTCATTCATTTTTTTTCTTCTTTTTTGTATATGAAATTATCCAATTTATTGTCTATTTTAATAAATAATTTAAAGAGAGAGGGAAAGAGAGAGAGAGAAAGAGAGAGAGGGAAAGAGAGAGAGGGAAAGAGAGAG